GGAGGGGGGATACCTCCACTGGGCAGAGGTAGTAGTGGAGGTGGCAGTGGGACTCCAGCATCTGGAAGAGAAGGGGCTGGAGGTGGCATTGGTATCTCCCCACTTGGCAAAGGTGGAGGAGGTGGTGGTGGAGGTGGCATCACGATGCCTGGCAAAGAATGGTCCGGGTGCGGCATTGCTGGGCCAGAGAGATGCAGAGGGAGTCCTGCATCAGGCAGGGATGGTGAGGGTGGTCCTCCTGCCAGAGGTGCAGATGCAGCCAGGGTAGATCCTGGCAGTGATGGGAGAGTGCTACAAGAGGGCTCGGGTGGCACAGAGGGGGCATGTTCACTACAAGTCTCATTTCCAGTACTTAGAGGCTGATGGGGAGCTGGCAATCCAGGCTCTCCTTCAAATGCAAGGGACAAATTAACTTTGGGTTCTGGAAGAGGTGACTGCGGCGTACTTTGTACTGATTGGCTTGTATCCAGTGGCACCGAGATTAGTTTCGGTGACAGAATTAAGGAGATTTCAGAACAAAATGTGGGCTGTAGTTCCAGAGTTGGCAATTGCTCGGTTGGCCCTTCACTTTTGCCCCCTTTCAAGTGCAGTGGTGAGGGTGGCTGTGGCAGTGCATTGGCTGAAGGCATTTTGTGTGGTAGATAATCTTCTGTTGGTGATGTCTGTACAGATCTTGCTTGTGACACAGTTCTGAATGCAACCTCCTCTCCGTTTGTTTGAAGAGTTATGCTACTGAGTTCCCTGCAGACTGGATGTCTGTGCTCATTTTCCTGCTCCCTTATAGCAGTCTGTACTTCTCTGGCAGGGTATTGTTTCTCTAGTTCTGCAATTTTGGTCCTCAAATCCTCAATAGTTTGTTCAAGTTGTTGGATGACACTGGCACGCTCCTCGGATTTCACTTCAAAATCATCCTTAAAATAATAATAATTAAAAAAATTATAATAAGCACAACAACAGATAACATTTGTCACTATACTAAAAAATGAAACTTAGACCATGAATATTGGTATTCCATAGGTTCAGAAAAAAAGGCGGTTATGACAAGCATTTAAAAACAGAGATATCATTTTGTCTAGGTGTATCTTACAATGGAAGATGAGAGTTTAGAAAAGTGACTTGCCCCAGCATTGAACTGCTGTCGCCAGTGTTAGCACTCACTGGATTATGATAATCTTTTCTCAAAACCAAAAATTAGCAACAATTCCTCTCTCCTTCCAAACATACCAATCAAGAAAACAATCAACCACTGAATAAAAGTACCACGCAAGAGTGTGTGCGCACACATGGATATGCTGATACAAAGGCAAGAAGGGCACTTCATTCATTCAGTTTTGTTAACTGATTTTTTTTTTTTTACCCTCCCAGAACAATACATTATGCATGGGAGCTCGACAAAAACTTTTGAAAGATAGATTTCAAAATATAGTTTAGGAATACAATACAGATTACAAAGGCAGGGCATGATAAATGTTCACTTTTTGAAATCAGCTAGCCTCAGAGTAAAGCATGCTCTTCTCCAGGAAACACTCCTGAGAATGAAAGAAGACGATGCTAAGAGAACTTTCCTCCCACCTATGACCTTCCTGTCTAGTGATGAAGCATTGGCGAGTGAGTAACGTTAGAAAAGCTTTCTTTGTGGGATGGTTATTCTGTATAATAGACAGTTTTCATATTTTTTTTATATCTTTTTCTGAAACATCTGATCCCGCCTACTGTAGAATGTATAAAGAAACTATTAGTTTTAGCACAGGAATTCCTACATTCTTAAATAAATATTAGTACCAAACTCAATATAATGGCTATGTGGCTTATCAAAAAGTACCAAGGGAAACCACATAGTCCAAAAATAGCCATTTGTACTTATTCAGGAGAGCAGAGCAGGAGGTAGAGCAGACATGACCCTATAGCACCAAGTCTTTCAATAAAGATCTTGCTAACATAGAACTTCTTTGGAAATTCTTCCCTCCCCCTCCCCCTTTTAAACATGCATTTAGCTTTATTATTTTTTTTTTTAATTTGGAATTTTGGTCACCAATATCACCACTTCCAGTCATAAGAATTTTTCAGCGTGAAATAGGTTTCCCAAGTGGTTATGACAAATAAGTGCCCTAACCACTGTGCTTTTTTGTCTCCTCTTATAAACTTCATGGATGAGATTGTAGACTTTTTTCATCTGGAATCTTTCAAATATTCAGATTTTACAAGCTTAGTAAAGAAGCCTCCAAAGACATATACAATACCTAACTAATGCTAATTGCCTTGGTTTGTTTCATGAAGGTAGTATTTTTTTGTCTCTTCCTTTGGCACACGAAACACTTAGAACTTTTTTCCTTTTTCCTGGAAAAATGAACATATAACTTCCAGCTGTAGACTATTAATAAATTATATCTTCATTAAAGCTTACTTTATTTATTTTGGCTGCACAGAGCTGGTTTTCAGAAATAAAATTTCAATTTAATCTTTATTTTTTTTTTCAAAATAAAAGATTTTCCAGCTTTCCTAATCAATTCCATAATTAAACAACTACTTCCATATGCAAAACCAGTTGATTGATTTGAAACACCCTCATCAAAATTTACAGTCCTCTGCATTGTCTGATCCTGTGGAACAGTGATCTGAAACCAAAGCTGTGGATTATAGTCATGTGTCTCTATAAACATCTACATCTCTGTACCAAACTTTGAAGAGCACTTAGAAGAAAGAATCTTAAAAAAGGGTTTGAATGAGTGATGAAGGACTGAAAGCACACTTATTAACATTACCTTATAAAATTACCTTATAAAAAGTAAATAAAGACTAAAAAAGGTGTTTCAATTAAAGATTATTCATGCTACTTTAATTCAATGCACTCAGTTTCCTGTAATAATTCAGTACTTTGTAGCAGCAAAGTTTTTCCTGAAGAAGTTGAGTAAAAGGGCAAACATTTAATACTTAGCATAAAGTCTCTTACAAAGAGAAGTGACTATTCTATTACCCTTAGAGTGCAGCTCCTCCACCAGTCTTCTGCAAATACAATAAGGCCTATCAATACTTCAAAAGGCAATGATATCAAAGGAAACGTCCTCCTAAGATTAAGCCCACAAGTCAGTCTTCAGTTACTTGACAACAAACAGTTTTACCTGACTGTAAGTCTCCTATACTTCCATTTTACATTAAGAGAACAATTTACCAAGGGCTTTATGAAAATTACAGCTTCCCAATTCTATCTGAATTGGAAAGTTAATTCCTGCCACAAACAAACTGAAGTCAATGGAATTAGACAGAATATTAAACGGCTCCAAAGAGATTTACCTTCATGATGGCTGATCTCAGAAGAACAGTTCACTGCTTTAAAAATTCGTTTATTCAGGAGATTGGATTCAATTTTACACAAGAACAAAAGGTAATCCTTGAATCTTGAAATTCTACCTGAACTATGGGAAAAACCTAGAATTCAATGTTATACATGAGAATTCACCCTGCAGACCATTAAACTTTTTATAAGAAGTATTTTTAAAATTCAAATAAATGGGCAAACAAGTGACATGGTTAGGAAATTGTAGAGAATAAACAAAAATGTCCTGATGGATGAAAGTGACCTTTTGCTCCATGCCCTAAGAGACTATTTCTGCTGTCCTTGAGACATGGCATTGTATAATTTCAAACAAGGTAGTAAATTTGCTGTTGTGTTGTTACATAAGAATCTCCAATCTATCTTTTTTTTTTCTCCTCTCTCTTCTCCACAGTAAGAACATTATGAACAAATGAGGCTTTGCTATGAATGTTGAGCTATTTATCCAGAGAAATTTATATGCTTTAAATTTATTAGGAGGAAGGAGCATTCATATGTTTCAATAGTTATTTCAGATAAATTGAGATATTTTTAATTTTGCCTTTTAAGGTGCCCTCAGCCTAAAGTCTCATTAGATTTCTACCTTTTCCCCAGACAGAAGTTTGAATTCTTTTCCTAGAAATCAGAAATGTTTTCATCAAGCAAACATAAGTTTGTTTTCACTACCCTTTAGCAAGGAAGGAAGGATGGATGGAAGGATAGATGGATGGAAGGATGGATGAAGAAAGGAATATGGCTGATCAGACATGAAAAATCAGACCGTTTGCTCTTAAAAGTAAGCAAAGGAAGACAATTTTTTCCATACATGTTAAAAATGGTCAAAAGCTGTTCCCAAGAACCAGAAGACCCCCTTAGATGGGAAAAGAATGTTCATTTTTAAGCTAAAGGACAATTCCACAGCAGAAGCCTGCAAGGTTTAAGAGAGATGTGAGGGAACTCTGTCTTGACTAGAGTTCTTACCCAGGACCCAGGTACTGTGGGACAGTCTTCTTTCTGTAAAGAAAGAAAGAAATGTGGAAGCTTAACCCTTGCTTTGTCTGGGAGACTTGAGTTTCAGAGTTGCTGATAGGAAAAAAAAAGATCCAAAGGTGTATGTATGATTATAGAAAGGTGATCAGCATTTCCTCAACCCAGTTGCACGTGTTCCATGTGTAGTAAGTTGAATGCATCTGAGACTGCTGGCTGTGTTTGTGTTTCACTGACAGGACTTCGTACCTACAGTATCATACATCCAGGAATACTTGCTTTAGCACATGGAAGCCTGTACAGTACATCCAATACATTCAAACCTTGCCATGTTTACCACATATGCACATCAGATATCCATCATACTGCTGATCTGTATAGGTAGAACATGTCCAGGATCTTCAAATACCTGAAAGTTCAGACCACAGCTACCTCCTCTAATGAGTCTGTCTGAAGATCTGGTTTCTAGACAAGAGACTGAACCCTACAGACCCTACCATGACTAAATTTCTATGTACAAAAACAGCATATATCTGTGAAAGTTAGCACTAGCCAATATACTTAACTTGCATTTACTTATATATTTTACAAACAGCAGTAATATGTTTTTATTTTCCAAAAATAAATAGAATGATAGTTCTTAAAGATAATTTTGGAATAAAGACACACAATAGTTCAGTTTTAAACTGAACTTACTATTATAAGCCAGAAGCATCAGTAATTTGATAATTTCCAGCAGTTTGTCATGAAATTTCCTCCTGGAGTAGAATCCATATTGAGATGACAGAACTATATTTTGTTTTTCCCCTCAAAACAGCAACCTATGGGTTCCGGTACAGTATAACACATAAATGACAGCCTGTGCTGCTACCTGAGTGCAAATATGCACATAAAATAGTTTTGTTTAAGGATGTGCTTCTAAGATGGAAAATAAAGACCCCTCAAGTTTTCCAGTGCAGCTGCACCTGCTACCAGCAGTATCCAGTTACTCAGTGGGGTACCCTTTCCAACCAGTCTATTAATAAAGACTTATTTTCCCATAAAAACAAACACCCTTGAGAGTTCTCTCTTCAGATTCCTCTCTCTCAAATTAACCCACTTGCAAAGCTATTTCTTATGACTGAAAATCAAGCTTAAGAAAAGGAAATATTTTAAAAAGCATTTCCAATCTATAGGTACTGTCATATAAGAAGTTGATTTTCATTAAAAACTTAACAAAACCATCTGATTAATTTTCATATTTCACTTAAACTGCAAAACTCATCAGAGCATTTCAGTTTTACAGAAGTAGAGATTGAGTCAGAAGCTGGCCAGCTTGGCTAGAGCTTCAGGGAAAATTCACTGAAGGTGTAGGATTAGTTTTGGAAACTGGCTTCTTCCTCAAACTACTAGGTCAATTCTCTTTTGAGAAGCTTTTGTTATACCAAAGCTATAACAAACAGCTTATGCGCTTTGAATACATCCTTTTCCCTATAAACAGAAAAAAAGAAGTTCCATGTGTTTTCCTACACCCACAAGAAAATACAATGCGCTAACACTAAACAAGCAAACTAAGCAAGCAAGCCCTGGAATAGAAGCAGTGTAATACTCTGCTTTGCCTGAATTCATAAACTTGATTTGGTGGTTATGAGCTAATCTCTTGCACAGTGACACTGCCACGTACAGATTACACCAACCAATGCTGTACTAGCACTGGGATCTTTAGCTGCTCATATGCCAAAGCTTTCTTACAGTGGAGGAGTGTTGTGAGCCTTGTTTATCACCTGCAGTTCAAACCTGAAATCTCTATTTACTTTTCTGCTGCATTCTGTCTGGGGTAGCAATGAAAATGTGAATAAACTGTGGCTAAAACATGCCTTATCAGCTAAAAGGCTTCATCATAGCTACCACACGTGACAAAAAGCATTGCATGCAGAAATCAGTCATTATTACAATTCCATTCAACTAAGCAAACATTCAATCAGCAGTGAACATGACCATTTTGAACGAGGATGAATACATCATGAGTACCAACTTCTAAAGCTGGAAGTCAGAAGAAAACATTTTTGTTCAGACTCAACTTCTTAAAGTTTTTGTTTCATAACTGTTGCTTGAATTCCATATTGCTGGGCTAAGGACATTTCAGAAGATAAGATCCCAGTTCATTACAATTCCCATTTTAGTCAGAAAAGTAGGGATGCCCATCAAAGGCTAAAAACTTACATAGAGTATTTTCCTTAAAATTATAAAGGCTCTTAACCAAGGTGAAACATTACCAAATATAATACAACAGGAACCTCAAAGGTTTTTGTATACTAGAGTCAATACAAAAGAAAACTTCATACCATCAAACTACTAGTCCTAGGAGCTACACGGAAGTATAACCACCATCTGCTTACATAGTATTACTTTTAGATTGTACAAATAATATTTTGGCAGTCATATTGGTGAAAAAGTGTGTTTAGACCTGCTTTATATAAAAGAAAATAAAAACTTAAATCTTGAATGCTTCCCTTCTAGCATATTTAAAAAGTCAGTATTTCAGAAACATGTAGTGGTACAGCAGTAATCAATAACAACTTCAAAAAGAGCTTACCTTTCCATAGTCCATAGCCCAGGCATACCCTTTATTGAGCCCAGAAACTGATTTAACTTTTCTGTCAGTCACCACAGCATAAAGCAAGCACATAAAGGAGTGGAGGAAAAAAAAAGTCTCTGCTGTAAATCACAACTGCTACACTCAAGTCTTTCAGCAGATGAAGATTTAATTGAAACTTGACTACCTATGCAAGGAGACAGATAAGCAACAGAGTCCAGGATTTCCTTAAAAGTTGTGATAAAAAAATGTTCTGAATTTACTTGCTGCTTGATATTTCAATTATTATTGGAATGCCTGTCATGTGACGTTATCACTCCCTATCTTCTATTCCCCAAGTTTGGTCCAAAGCATTTGAACTAAAAGTCTAAAAGGATTGGGTAGGTTTTTCTTTCAGGCCAAGGAGATGACCTTCTTTCATTCTGTTAAAATATGAAAAAAAAAAAAAAAATCTGCCATACCTTGAGCATTACTGCACTAGCATACTACAGAAAGAAGCTACCTTATTTCAGACCAGGGCTGCTCTTGATTTTTGATTCAGCTTGCAGTGGACCAGCATCCTGAGTAGTTGTTGGTAGGTAAACTACCTCGTTCTATTGTTATTTCTATATGTTTTGCCCACAGAAGTTTTACTAATGTTTTTTATGTTTGAAATAACAGGATTTTATTGTCCCAATCTAAATTTGAAGCATTCTGAACAGCTTGCGTTTTTCCCCACCTCCTAATACTCCTGGATAGGAGAAAAGACAGTGATTTTCCAGGTGAGCTTCCCTACATCCTGATAAGCAACTAACTTCTACAGAATACTTGCCTTTTTCATCCAAGAGTTCAGCCAGACCACAAAATGGAAGGTTTCACATGTTGCTTTTGTTTCAGGGCTTCCAGCAGGGAACAAGCAGCAAAAAATACCCACAATAAGATTAAAACTTTGTAAAGAGGGATAAATAGTCTTCACTGCCCTGAAATATGAGCCTTCTACTCACAGAAGAAGTTTGGGAAAATTGATTTTTTTTTTGAGAGAGAGAGAGAGAGAGAGAGAGAGAGTCTATTGAATAAAATCAATGCCAAATCAATGACAAATCAAATCATTGAAGATAACAGCTTGTATGTTTTGGAATGTTAAGTGAAAATAGGCATTGGATTTTTTTTTCCTAGGGAGAAGATGAATACTGAAAATGTAGAAAGTAATTTGATATGCAGTAATCTGCAAGTTAGTTTTTATCTGTGCCTTAGGGCTTTCAATATAGCCACTGGTTCTGGAAAAAAAATAATAAAAAAAGGAGACCAATATGTATTTAAAATATTTAGAAAAAAAAACAACGTGATCTCGTCATAAGCTTTGTCTTGTCACTAGTCTTGTCATAGTTGGTGTTACTTACGACAGTTTAAAAGAAATTAATGAAAAATATTTTCTGATCTGATCTAGTCCACTTTCATATCCTTCATATCCAAAGATTAGGCATGCATCATATTATTCTTACTGACTTTGCTTTTCAATTCTCCTTCCCCTACAGCAACTTACCATGATCATGTTTTATTTCAAAATATTTCAGTTTGGATATTTCTAATTAAAGTAGTTCAGATCAATAAAAATGACTCTTTTTTTCTAATCTCTTTTCTATACACAGGTCCAGGGGAATTCTCACCATCTGCACCGCTGTAAAGTAGCATCTGATTTTTAATAAGGAAAGTTGTAACAGAAGGATTTCATTTTTAGATCATGACCTATTTTTGACAGGGTGAGATCTCTGACTGATTAAGCCAACTTGACAGAACAGATTGTCCTGCAAGAAATATCACAAGAAACTTTCCTTCAATGACCAGAATTGAATCCAAGTTTTACAGAGTTTATATTTTTATATATACATATGTATATGTGTGCACACACACACTTTTTAATGCTGCCCTTTTGTATCTCTTAAGATTTCTCCATTTGTTCAGTTCAAATACTGCTTCGTTTTTAAGTAGTTTCGAAGCAGGTATATACTATAGTATTTAGATAGTGCTATAGTATTTTAAATATTTTATTTAGTCTGAATAGTATAACAACGTTGAATATACAAAAGCTTTCTTTTTATTTCCTTCCAACAAAGGAAAGAAACTCCACAGGCAAATAACCAAATTTCTGCTTTAAAGCATTTGGGGCAACAGGGGAGGCAAGGAAGAATAGTTATAGATTTTCATCTGCAACAGAATTTCAGTTTTAGAAACTTTAAGAAAGCAATTCTTATTTTAACAATTAATAAACTACAGCATGTATTTTGCTCTGACCAGAAATGCATAAATGATAGGAACACATGCTCAAATTACTCATTTTGAGGAATTTCTTTTTTTTAAAAAAAAAAAAAAAAAGGAGTAAAGAAAAAAGTTGTATTCTGAATTCTACTGGCAAAAGCCTATGCATATCCTGCATTTCTATTTGCTCAAAGAAATGACAGCTTGCTGTAAAAGA